TGCCGTCCGCCGCCGGGTTCTGCGTCGCGAAGAGGCGGAAGCCCGGCGCGCAGGGGAAGCTCTCGCCGAGCTCGGGCACGAAGAGCGCCGCGCGGTGGTCGAGCACGGCGTTGAGCCCCTCGAGCACGGGCTGCGGCGCGAGGTTGAGCTCGTCGAGGAGCACCCAGTCGCCGCGGCGCACGGCGGTCAGCAGCGGCCCGTCGCGCCACTCGAAGGCGGCGACGGCGCCCTCGGCGCAGGGCAGGTCGCCGCCGAGGAGGTCGCCGAGGTCCGTGTGCTCGCTCAGGTTCACGCGGTGGAGCGCGCGGCCCGCGCGGCGCGCGAGCGCGGACACGAGCGCGGACTTGCCGACGCCCGGCGGCCCCTCGAGGAGCACGGCCCGGGGCAGCACGCAGGCGCGGAGCACGCGCCGCGCGTTCGCCGCCGTCGTCGGCGCGACGAAGCAGAAGCCGCCGCCGCCCGCGGCGGCCGCGCCGTCGGCGACGGCGACGGCGAAGGGCGGCGCGCCGAAGGCGCCGCCGGCGCGCGCGGGCGCCGGGCCCGCCGCGTCCCAGCGCAGCGCGGCCGCGACGTCGGCGGCGAAGGCGCCGCCGGGCGCGCGCGCGGCCGCGCGCGCGACGAGCGCGGCGCCGGCCGCGGCCCGCGCCGCGCGGACGTCGGCCGCGGCGGCGCCCGCGTTCGCGAGGCCGATGCCGTCGAGGCACGCGACGGCGCAGCCGTGGCCGAGCGCCGCGGCGGCGGCGAGGCCGCGCGCGCGGGCCTCGTCCGCGAACTGGGCCCAGGCGCCGAGGTCCCGCGGCGTGAGCGGCGGCACGGCGGCCGCGAGGCCCGCGCCGGCGCCGTCGACCCACTCCTTGAAGTCGAGGATCGCGTCCCGGACCGCGGCGCCGTCGGCCCCGAGGCGCGGCAGCCGCGCGTCGACGAGGCGCCCGAGGTCCGCGCGGCCCGCGCACGTCGGCACCTGGGCAGCACAAGAGAGATTCAGTTCAACGTGAGTGTTCCGCGCGCGCGCGTTCCGGAAAAAGCATCCACGCTTCGAGGCCGTTCCAAGAGATGATCGCTCGTCCAAAAGTCAGCCGAAACGAGTGGAAACCGGCCGAGATCGAAGCCTTTGAAGTTGGGAATGTCGCTCTCTTTTGCTGCCCTGGTCGGCGCCCAGAGCTCCGTGAACCGGGACCGGAGCGCGGGGCTGAGCTCGCGCTTGCCGTGGTCGCCGCCCGGGTTCATCGTCGCGACGACGCGGAAGTCCGCGTGGGCGACGACGGTCTCGAGGACCTCGCCGCCCTTCTCCGCGAGCGTGACGGACCGCCCGGGCTCGAGGACGCTGTTGAGGCGCTCGAGGACCGCGTCGTCCGCGAGGTTGAGCTCGTCGAGGAGCACGAACGCGCCGGCCTTCATCGCCGCGACGAGGGCGCCGTCGACCCACTCGAAGAGCGCGCCGGAGCCCCGCCGCGCGGGCCGGAGCGCGCCGAGGAAGTCGCTCGCCTCGCTGTGCATGTGGCAGTTGATGACGACGAGGTCCGCGCCGCGCGCCGCGGCGAGGAGCTCGCAGGCCGTCGTCTTGCCGCCGCCCGTCTCGCCGACGAGGAGCGCGGGCTCCGCGTGGTCCAGCGCCGCGGCGAGGAGCCCCGCGAGCCGCAGGAGCGCCGCCGTCGGCGCGACGCCGCGCGCCGCGCACGCCGCGAGGAGCCCGGCGCGCGCGCCGCCGGCCGGCGGGCCGTGGTCGACGGCCCCCGCGTCGACGCCGAGCGCCGCGGCGAGCTCGCGCCGCACGGCGGCGACGTCCGCGTCGCAGCGGAGCCGCTGCGCGACGATCGCGTCGCCGATCGCGAGCGCGCGGTCGCGGTCGCCGTCGCCGCCGACGCGCGCGGCCCACTTGAGCACGTCGCGCGACGAGCACAGGCTCTGGCTCCCCTCGAAGAGGGACCCGCCGTCGCGGCCCCGGCCGAGGCGGAGCCGCCGGAGCCGCCCGTGGGCGTCGACGAGGCGCGCCGCGAGGCTCGGCGCGACGCCGCCGACGCGCGCGACGACGTCCGCGAGCTCGCCGCTCGAGAGCTCGTCGACGTGGATCTCGACGAAGCGGTCGCGGAACGCGCGCGACAGGGGCTTGCGCCCGCCGTAGGTCGCGCCCGACGCGGCGCAGACGCCCGCGGGGTTCTGCGTCGCGAAGAGCGCGAAGCCCGGCGCGGGCCTCACGACCTCGCCCGTCTCGGGGATCCGGAGCTCGCGGTTGTCGTCGAGGAGCCGGTTCAGCGCCTCGAGCACGTCCGGCGGCGCGAGGTTCAGCTCGTCGAGGAGGAGCCACTCGCCGCGG